CCCCACCCTCCGGCGCAGCCCCTTGGCCTGTCACCCGCACGCGGGACGCGGACCGCCCTCCCGCCCCTCCCCGCCGGGGAGAGTAAATATTGACCGTGCTCAGCGCCTGCCGCAAATTAACGTCAAAGTCAAGTACATGCGGCTCTGGTTTGTTTGCGAGCTGATGGTCGGGCCGGGCCGGGCAGGGCGGGGCAGGCCACGCAATGCGCGCGGCCAGAGAAAACTGATCACAGTTACCGTCGTAACTCGCTGGCATTCCCTTCTCCAGGTACCCGAGGAGCGATAAGTGGCCAGTAACCCCCACCCCCCTCCTCCTCACACACGTGCACCGCATCGCCAACAGCCGAGGCTGCCTCGGCGCAGCTTCCTCGTTTATTGCATCGTCAAGAGCAGCAGTGCGTCTAGCCCCGCCGCGCCCCGCCCCGCCCCGCCCGCCCCGCGACGTGACGTGTTCATATTCCCGGGGCGGCCACCTGTTGGGCGGATCGTATCAAATCGCAATGTAAATATTGGCGCGCCGACGCGCTGCGCGGCGGGGCGGGGCGGGGTCCGGAGGGGGCTGCAGCAGCAGCGCGGGGCGGCGCGGGGACGGGGCGTCCGGAGGGTGGCCGACAATGGGCAGCGCGCTGGAGCGTTCACGCACCGGGACAGAGCCTCGGGCCCCAGGCAGGCGCGGGGCCCACAATAGCGATGGTGTTGCGAGGAGCCCACAGCCCGTATCATCCCCGCCGCCCGGACTGACCTCGGACGGTCTATAACCCCTCGGGACGCGCGGGCCTCGCCCTTTTCCTCCCCAAAAACAGGGTGGATGGCTTTTATCATCATCCAGTTTCACGGCAGGACCAGAAGCGCGAGTTTAAGAACAAATTATGGAGGCCGCGGCTGCTGCGCCCGGGTGAGACCGAGCGGGGGCCAGGTGAGCCGGAGCCACACAATGCCATGTGTGGACACGGCGGTTGCATGGTGGCTGACGGGGAGAGTATTGTGATCGCGGGTCATCTCGCCAGCCGAGCCGAGCCGAGCCGGGGCCGGGAGGTGAGAGATGGTGAGGGGAAGGGGGAGGGGGGGGCATCGCGCAATTTGCAGACCGGCTCGTGATTTATCGCACCTCATTGCAAAGCGGCGCAGGGCAGCGCAGAGCGGCCGGCTGGCGTGGAGCAGGGCGAGGAGGAGCCGGACGAACACGGGGATAAGGCGCAGATGGGAAGAACGGTCGCGGCGAGGAGGAAGCGGGGCCGAAGGGGGGTACAGCAGCGGAGGCTGGGCGGTGCCGGGCTGCCGGGCGCCATCGCTCCGGTCCAGAGAGCCCGGTCCAGTACGGCCCCACGCCCACACACCGTGCGCGCGCACGCAACGCCAAGACGGATGGCCCCTGCGCCCCGCCACGCCCCGCCACGCCCCGCCACGTCTCATTCCCACGGCCGGCCTCCCGAATATATCCGCGCACCGCCCCACCCGGGGCACGACGGTCATTGGCACCGCCCGCCCCGCGCTGCGCCACGGCGGACTTCCATGACTGACGACCTCCTTTGTCCACGTCGCGGCGAATGACCAGCAGGGCACAGGGCGACGGAGGCCCTCTGGCTGGCGTGCACGGCGTCCTCCAACTGCTGGACAAGCTGAGGATGACGGTCGGCGCGCTCGCCGCGCTGAGGCCATGCCCGCTTTACGACGAGGGGCGGAGCTGCGGGGGCGGGCGGAGTTGCGGGGCGGGGCGGGGCGGGGCGGGGAGTGCGCAGGGCAGGGGCTGCGGCGGGGCGGCCATGTCGGATGCCAGCCCAGCGCGCCGTCGTAAACTTGCCGCACTTTATGCCGGGCAGCACGCTGCAGTACTGGCGGGGCACCACAGCACCACCACCAGCGCTCTACACACGTATATGCTGTGTTGTACGCGGGGCGAGCAGCGTTCTCTCACGGTGTACAGCACTCGCCCGTCTCACTCCTCATATCGAAGCAGCCCCGGCCAGCCGGCTGGCTGCCCCGCCACCGCGACGGGACGGGACCTCTCATGGCGCCATCGGGAAAGCGTCCAATTTACTAGGTCCAGGCCCAGTGAGTGCACACCGCGGGCTCCCCCGCGCGTGCGGGCGTGAGGGAGGGAGGGAGAGAAAGTGTCCGCCCCTCCCTCCCTGCCGGCGTGGCGAGCTGTCTGTTCGCGGCTCGCGCCCGCGCCGTGCCGCGTCGTGCCCGCCAATCCATCAAACCTAACAAACTGCCGCGCTCCGCGCCCGCTGCTAGCCTCGCGTGAGCCGGCCGGGCCTGCCGGGGCGGAGGGGTTGTCGGCCCGGTCCGCCTGTTACCACACCAGCCTCCATGTTTAGCAAACTCGGGGCCGGCAGGGCCCGCACCACAAGGCCTCCGGGCCGCGGCGTGGATCGGCGTGGCTCGGCGTGGCGTCGCGAGGCGCGGCCGGACAACAAAAGGGGAGCGCATCGCTGCCGCCTGAGCGGGTACGCGTCACGCTCTGGCGGCCATTGCCACTCCAGCGCGTCGCCGAAGAGCCGGCTCGTATGATATCCAGAGCTCGACGAGAAACGAATCCCCCGATTAATCACCCCGCAATAAACTACGGACCGACAGTGGTCAGTACTCACCGGTGTGGGTCCGCTTGTGTATCTTGAGGTTCTCGGAGCGGGCGAACACCTTGCCGCAGCCGGGGAACGGGCAGGGGAAGGGCTTCTCGCCCGTGTGCACGCGGATGTGGTTGACGAGCTTGTACTTGGCCTTGAAGGGCCGGCCGTTGCGCGGGCACGACGCCCAGAAGCAGGCGTGCGACGTGCACTCGGGGCCGCCGACGTGCTCCACCGTGAGGTGCGTCACGATCTCGTGCATCGAGTTGAAGAGCTTGCCGCACTGCTTGCGCGGCGGCGGCGCGTCCGGCTCCACCCACTGGCACGACATCTCCTGGCGCACGGGCTGCCGCATGTAGCGGAAGAAGGCGCCGTGGTGGTGCGGCGACATGGCCGACACGGCCGACGACACGGCCGACACGGCGGCCGCGTGGTGCGCCGTCATGGCCGACACGGCCGACACGGCGGCCGGGTGGTAGGGCGACGTCTGGTGGTGGTGGTGGTGGTAGGCCGAGTGCGGGTGCGGGTCCCGGTGGCCGTACATGGCGTCCATGCCGGCGGCCGCGAGCCGCATCTGGTGATGGTGGTGGTGGTGGGGGTTGAGGTGGGGGTGGTTCGTCAGCGACTGGTGGTGGTGGCCCGTCAGGTGGTTGTCCTGCAGGGCAAAAAGGCAACAGAGGCTACAATTACGACACCAAGCAAAACACAACAGTCCATCACAACATTACAACCACTCACGACCGTCGCTGCGTACAACTTCCGGCGAGCGCCGAAAAATAATCACGAGTCGTCAAGGAAAATGTGTTCGGGTTCATTCAGCGACGATCTGTGATCGGCAGGCCCCCGCAACGTCTCGATAATGATTTGAATATAAATCGGCCGCTGCCGCCAAAATTAGGTGAAAGCCCGCGCGCCGCCGCCGCGCCGCCGTCCCCGCGGACAAATAATGGTCGCCCGGAATGAATTGAAACCAAACATTATTCTCCCGTCCAATAAATCGCGATGGGGCCGCGGTCCATTCATAAGGCGCGGGGTGGAGAGGGGGGCACTGCCGCCTCCGCCCCGGCCGCCCCGCTCAGCGCCCCGATCAGATGCGATACGGATCGGCTGTTCGATCGCCCCGGCCCGGCGACGACCGTCCAATCTCAATAAGATGGCGGGGCGTATGGGGTCTGACGGCCTCATTGGCTGCGGACGAGGCCATCAGTGTCGAATATTTAAACCGAAATCGCGCGCGGCTCGAACTCGAGGCTCGAGGATCTCGCGGCGCCGAGTGGGTACGTCCCGCCCGCTCGCCGGAGCAGCGGCCAATCAAAAAGTATAACTCGTGGAGTGAGCGCGGTGCGACCAGCGGCCGGCCGACCTCAAATCAAATCGCAACCCGCGCCATATAGGCCGCGCAGAGAGCGCACAGGGTGAGACGGTCTCAATAATAAACGTTTTCAACCGAAACTGAACAAAAAGCGAGGGTGCTTTTTCTGCGAGTCTGTATATTTCTTTATGTTATTACTTTTCTTATACTCGGTATATGTATTTAACCATAGACACAGTTTTACAGCCGAGGAGGGCCTCTCGTGCGCCTCGGCGCTGGCATGCAATGCGTATAAGTGTCTGCGTTATACCATCTAGAAGGTTTATATTCTGCCCCGCGCGATGCCAACACGGCGATAGCGGAAGCGAGCGATAACTGAATTTAAGGCCTTTTAATCTCCCTTGCCGGTGCGCGGTACGCCCCTCCGTGCCGCCCCCGGGCCGCCCCCGCCTGGCCCTGGCACGGCCCCGCTGGCCCCGAGGCGAGAAAAGAAGCATACAAATGTGAACAGAGGCCGTTCATCATATTTGATAAACTCGCCGTCGCAACGCAAACGGTTGGAGGAGCACGGCGCCTCCCGCAGAGCAGAGGGGTGCGTCCGCGTCCACCCCGCCCGCCCC